GGACCTACTTATTTTTTCTTTTTGATATGAAGTAACTTGTTACCCTGGGTGTTGCTAGACATAATTGCCTTTACGTTTGGCTCAGTGATAGTAGTTATTCTTTGCAAACAAGCATATAATCTAATGTTTATGCTGCTACAAAGACATACTCCTGAATGATTGAGGGGAACAAAGGTTTGATTATAACAGCTTGGCAACAGGTTTAGTTTGGCAGAACACAGCTTAAAAACAAATTAGATATCATTTTACAGCAGTCGTGTTCACACAGAAATGAACAACTCTAAATCCTTCAGAGATATGTGAGATTACGTGGTTTTAATATGAAGCCAAATTGTAGAAAAGAAGTCCCAAAAGCTACAAAGAAACTTAAAGTTGTATCTTTTACAAAGTGAAATGTGAGAAGCAAGTCTGTGCCAAACAGCTCAGACACTTTCATCCATCCTCTTTACCCGCTCCTCCTGTCTGGGTCGGTGGGAGCTGGTGCACAGTGAGTGTCTTTTCAAGCCGCCTTCCTTGACAGGCTTGATTAAAAATGCAGCTTTGGCTTTGAAGTGTTTTTCTCCATCACATCCAGTCTGTCAAGTGTGGACACGTCATCTTGGTGAGAACCGGTGACAGAGACATGGACAGCAGCACGAGGAGCCAGAAGGACCTGAAGGAGGCCAACTCATCCACCAGCTCCGAGCTAAATCTGGCCTCCAGGTTATACATGTGAAAGCTGCCTTTTCTTCTGATGTAAGGATGCATCAAAGCACTTTGTTTGACATGCTGTGTGAGTCAGAAATGCATAAAATAACACAGGAGAAATAAAAAGTCTTTATGAGTCAGAAATGCATAAAATAACACAGGAGAAATAAAAAGTCTTTAGTGGAAGAAAAAAAATCACTCTACCAAATGAATGTGAAGAATATTTTAAATCCCACTTAAAATTTGGGTGTATGGTTTTATGGAAGTATGAAAAAGGTAATTTTCATAGTTGAGATATTATCACAAAATAATGACTTCGCAKTGCATAATTTTGGGGTACTAATAATTAGGGCTTATACATGTTTAATCTAAGAAAACCCTATATATATATATATATCAGAGTGAGATCGATTTCTCTTTATTCCATTACTTCTGGCTGCTGGTAGCGCGGGAATTATAATGATCCTATATTGACAAAACGATGGCTCACTCCAGACCACGTTCTCAAATTTTAACTTTTATTTTTCCCTCTGTTTTGAGAAGGGTCTAGCTGCAATTATTTTCTGTTTTGGCTTTTTCTCCTGAGGAACAGAGGCTAGAAATATATGGAAAGTTAATAGTGGCAAAAATAAATAATTTAAAGAACCCAAGAGTTAAGTCTCCGTAAAACTGAACAGATCAAAAAAATGTTCATAAATCTCAGAAAATCTWTAGAATTGTAAAATTTGTGGTGTTTCTTGAAAACAAACGAAACTGTTTACTTTTAGAGCCTAATTCAAGATGGCGTCGTTTGTTTTGATTCAKCGGTGTTCGGAAATAACATCGGAGTGAGACCTCTCGTCTTAGCGTCCTCTTTTCCTTTCGGAAGCACGCGGGCTACGGTGGCCGCTCTGCTTCTCCTTCTAGTGTGTAACGGTTGTAGCGAGAAAGTTTTGTCTCTCTCTGCGCAGCTATCGCTTCATTTTGTGTGATATTTTTTCAAAGAACCATGGCCGACTCCCAGGACGACAAGCTGTACCGGGCGGAATACGCAAAGAGCGGCCGGGCCTCGTGCAAGGAGTGCAAAGAAAGCATCGCTAAAGACTCGCTAAGGATGGCCATCATGGTGCAGGTGAGGTGACTTCGTCTATGGAGTCGTTTATCCCGGGAAAGCTTCATGTTAAGAGCTCTTCGTTGTAGTGTTGAGCTCTAAGTAACATGCTAAAAAGTTTATAGGTACTTTAAAAAGCTATAATGTTGGTTTTACGGTGGTTTTAGTTGTTTATATCAAGGCCCTGGTTTGCATTTAAATGGCTGACATTGCGTCTGCTGACAAAGACCAGAGCTTTTTCCACTAGTGCTGGATGCAGCTGATTATATCTGCTCCAGTCTGTTCAGTCTGCTGCACCAAATGATGGAGAAATATTGATGTAAGAGTCTAAACCTGCTTGTTGTTTATGGCCTTTGGAGCTGCTCCACGTTCGCTATCACTTGTTGTTGTTGTTGTTGTTGTTGTTGTTTGTGCAAACATTTGCTCTTAATATAATTACTGACTCACTCCTTCAGTTTCAACCCCTATTAATTGACCACATTTTTAAAAAGTGCAGGCAGATTTACGCCCACCCTGGTATTGATTTTGTTKTAAGAAGGGAGTCGTTTCTTCCCACTGTCGCCATGTTCTTGCTCGGAATGGGAGATTGGCATTTTTACAGTTTTTACATAGCCTTGCCAGGTAGGTAGGTAGGAAACAAGGTAGGAAAGAAGGTAGGTAGGAAGGAAAGAAGGTAGGTAGGTAGGTAGGAAGGAAAGAAGGTAGGTAGGAAGGAAAGAAGGTAGGTAGGTATGTAGGTAGGAAGGAAAGAAGGTAGGTAGGTAGGTAGGTAGGTAGGTAGGTAGGTAGGTAGGTAGGTAGGTAGGAAGGAAAGAAGGTAGGTAGGTAGGAAGGAAAGAAGGTAGGTAGGAAGGAAAGAAGGTAGGTAGGAAAGAAGGTAGGTAGGTAGGTAGGTAGGTAGGTAGGTAGGTAGGTAGGTAGGTAGGTAGGAAAGAAGGTAGGTAGGTA